TGACTATTTGACCAGACGTGAGTCAATTGTGCATTTCCATGGAGTGTTCGAGGCCCAAGACTTTCTTGGGTTGGGCAGAGGAAGTTCTTAAGTTTCCCCCAGCGCTATGTTAGTTCTGTTTGCCCCCTTTGCCATCCTGTGAGTCACTTTTTCCTGATGCATGTGGGCTTTTTGCACAGAAACAGCAGGGGCAGATCTTGCTTGAAAGATCCCCCTGTGGTGGTGGAAAGCAGGAATGAACAGGAGAGCTCATGATCTTGCACAGACAGTTCTACACTCCTCTTAGAGTTGGCCTCAAGCTCAATGTGACAAAGATCATTTAAATACCCAATGACTGACTGTCCTGTGCTTTCATTGCAGAGACTCCATATGAGACCCCAGGACCATTTCTGCATCAAGCTCCCTTGTGGGTGATAGCTACCTTTGGTATGTGAGACTCCAAAGCTGCAGCTCATCTTGGCTTTTGCTTAGTGGAGTTCAGTGAAACAGGGCTGAGGTCAGAGTGATTCAGATGCTGTTTGTTCAGTAATAGCTTACCAGAGCCTTGCCCTGTTCTAGGTTTCCCAAACTCCCTCTTCTTGCAGCATGATGTAGCCCCACAGCCATCTAAGCCATGTTGTGCCACCTGCTGCTTGAAACAGAATCACCCAGCATGGGACAGGCACTAACTTCCCTTCCTTTCTACTCCTCCAAGGCACTCAGCCTGCTGCTTATCCTTAAAGGTTTTTGACTGGCCTGTCTCATGGGCACTGGGCTGGAGCAGCTGAATTGCATCTGCTTGCTAGTATAAGGTGATATTAAAGCAGTTCTCTGCTCTTTACTGTGCAGTGCTCTTGAGTGTCCTGGTGGGTATAGGCTGCATTACTGCATGGCGACGATCCGAAAAAAAGATCAGCTTCACCAGTATTAGCCTTGAAAAAACTTCCAAGGAACAGCTCGTGCCTGCCAGAAGACCCTCAACTACGTTTCCTTGATGGGTAGGTTGCTTACCCCTACACTGTATCCGAACCACTCAGTGCAGCTACTCGGAGGGGGAGAGAGCCCACCCCTTCCTGAGCACCCTTTTTTCTGCGGAGGAGAAGATGCTCCTTGTCCCATTCCAGCTTGCCACGAGCTTTTCTCTCTGGGAGGTTATCCCCATGTCCTTCCTGTAAATGCACTTCTCAGCTGCCTGTGCCCCAGCTGAGAGGGGGACTAGGTGAGTTATGTTCCCTGTGTGTGCAGGAGAGCATTTTCCCTCAACACATGTTTGCATGCATGCACGCACAGTACTCATCTCTGAGTAAGAGTAAGGATGGGGTCCCACCCCACTGCCAAATTTTTTTGTGGTATGGAAGTGGTTTTGACTGCAGTCCTACCTCCAGACTCCTCTGTTCTGAGAAGCCTGCTGTCTCTTCTTTCAGTGGCTATTTGATAACTGGCCAGATGCATGTGGGTGTTGGGGCAGATGTGTGTGGGTGTTGAATCCAGGGGAAATGTCAAACTCCTGAATGCTGGGATACTTTGCTGATCTTTTGACCTCTTTAGAGTGGTTTGTTTTCCCCCCACAGCTTTAAAACTCAAATGAAATCCAAACCCCTGGCACAGAAGATTATCACTAATAACACTTTTGTTTTTCTGCTTTTTTCAGGAAGTTCCTGCCTGCAGGTTGGCTCAATCATCTTCGCACTTCCTGCAGATGCTGTTCAGATAGATCTTGACAAGTTCTCAGGGGTTTGATTGGGTGACAGTTGCACTAAAATAATTAAGGACATTCCCCCAGCACAAGTATATGTACTGTGGGAAATTGGCACTGGAGAATCAGAAATGACCCTTGTGGTGCTGTGAAATCAAATGTGCCATGGTGATGGCAGTTCTTGGGATGCCATAATGGTTACCCTAGAGGGGATATTTCACATGTTGCTTCTCACCAGAGATTATAGTCGTGATATAATTTTACTGTGCTACAAGTCTTCAAAGTATTACCTGGTGGCATTAACCCATCAAGGAGTTGAAAAATTGACATGCTTCCTGTGCCCCTAGGCTTTTCACTGGTGACAGGCTGAGCTTTAGTTCTAGGCACATGATGTGGCATTCAGGACCTAAGCGCTCTTCACTCCCACTGAAGTTTATGTAAGAACTGTTCTCTGCTTGTGTATTCAGCCTAGTGTTTCCACCTTAACGCTTGGTTTCCTAGAAGTTGCCTGTTTAATGTAGTTGGAAGAGCATCTGAGCAAATCTTGTCAAAACCAAAACCAGCAGGAGTCAGTTTTGTACTTCATTGCTTTTAGCTCTTAATTTTGGTGTCATAACCAGTTGTTTCCTTCATGTTATCCCTTTCTGAAATCAATGCATGCAGTATACCATTGGCTTTTCAGTGTGTGTGTGTGTGTGTGTGTGTGTGTGTG